AAAAATAAAACGCTTTTCTCTCTCTTTCTTCGCCCTTCAAATTTATTAACTTGTTTCTCGAATGCTCATTTTTTCTTTTCTTCTTTGTTGTTGCTTTAGGTCCGAAGGTGGGTGCAAATCTGGGCGACTATTCGGCGCCGTCGAGCACATCCCAATTGGACCCGACAAATCAGGCGTCGAGGACCTCTTGCATAAGCTCAAGCCCCTCCCTGAACTCGAGCCTGCTGGGCCTGAACTGCCTGAACACTGGAAGGACGAACTTCACCAACAAGCAGCTGACCGAGCTGGAAAAGGAGTTCCACTTCAACAAGTATCTGACGAGGGCGCGGCGCATCGAGATCGCTTCTGCGCTCCAGCTGAACGAAACCCAGGTGAAGATATGGTTCCAGAACAGGAGAATGAAGCAGAAGAAGAGGATGAAGGAGGGATTGATCCCGGCCGACTCTACAGCCGCCGCCGCCGCCTCAAATCTGAGCATCGCAAATTCCCCGAACGGCAACCTGAACCAACCGGAGAGCAACGAGAACAGCAGGGAATCCAATTAAGCAGCCAAAGAATTTTTATTTTATTTCCAATTAAACAGTTAGATATTAAGAAATGATGATTATTGATGATGATGAAGACGACAACAGTTCCCGAAGACGCGTCTTGGAGGGGGATGATGAGATTCACGATTATTTATAATATAATATTATCGATCCGTGTTAATTTATATAATTGTACAATATGTAAATAGGTGTGTGTATGGTAGTTGAGTCGCTCAGGGAATGCATTTCAAATGGATGTGTAACCAAAATCATGTTTAAACATTTAACAAAACGCAAGTTATTCGTCTAAAATAATAAATAAATAAATAAAACTCGCAACTCTTTAGCATTTCCTTTAACTATGTTCTTACATTATGATTAATTATTATTACCACCTACTTGTATTTTTTTCAGTTTTTCTTTGTTTTTTGTTTGTTATAAATGAGAGTTTTAGTTTAAATTAACAGCAGAAGCGAGAAAAATAATACCAGGAGAGGAGCGGAGAGCTGGAGGTTGCATCCGGAGCTCCAGCCGCACTCTATCTCCGTCTTGAGCACGTCCACTAAGCTCTTGTTGTTCTTGTTGGTGCATTTCGAGTTCCTCAGGTCATCGTTTATATGTCTGCAGGTGTAGTCCTGCGATTTGAACGATGGCGGACGGCTCGGACTCTGACCGCAAAGGAATTGTCTGCGTTTCCTCTGCCACACTTCAATCCAACTAGTCGCAAACAAAAAAAAATGTAATAAAATCAAAACGAATGTTAACACTTCAATAATCATCGAAGAAAGGGTTAGTACAATAATTTGTTAATCAAAATTATTTTCTTAAAACAAACAAAAATTCATACTTCAGAATCCAATAAGATTGGTTCAGTACAAAAATAACTATTTTCATTATAAATTGTATATTTATGTCAGAATTAATGTCACTGTCAAAATAATGTCAGAATTAAAACAAATACTATTATTAAACATATTATTAATAATTAAAGTTCAATTAATTTTTTAAAGTTGACAATATATTTCGAATCAATTTATCAAAATTAAGTAATAAACATAACTTTAAATCTTAGAAAGATGTCAATCTAAATTTAGACATATGTAAAAGAATATCACTAGATTACATAAATAAAAATAATAAGATTCGATATACAAAAAATTGTAACGGTATAATTATTGAATTTTAAGCAATAAAATAGTTTGGATAATTTTGTTTATATTTAAATTGCATTGAAATTAGTAAACGTGTAAACATTACTTCTACCAAATTAAGAAAATGCTTCAATAATTTGTATTAGTTTATTTGGATAAATTTAGAAGTAAATAATAGAAAATTAATACTCACTTTACGAATTTTATCTATCAAGAGAATAATTTAATGAACTTAGAAAAAGTGAACATTAATATTAAAATTTAAAAATTATTAATTAATTTGTTTCCAATTAAACAAATTGTTGTAAGAAATAATTAATCTTAAACTATTTTATCAATGAGTGAAAAAAATCATATTTGGTCCATAATTTCATGATAATAATATGTGGAATTGCATGATAAACGTAATAATAAAAATGAAAGTATAATTAAATAAAATTAAATAATTAATTATTGAAATGATGAAAAAAAAATGTTTCTTTTTAACTAAGTAAGAAAATGTCAATTGAAATTTTATATTTTGATATGATGTCAGTGTCAAAAAATGTAAAAAACAAAAAGTGTAACTAACCCTTTCTTCGCTGTAAACAACTGAACATATCCACAGCATACTACAAATATCTAATAACAATATTTTTGTATCGCATTGTTACTTGTAATATTCCTGAATGATAGTATTAAAGTTACCTGTTAAAGTGCGCTAAACTTAAATAAAATTCAGTTTAGTGGACTTACTGAGTGTGCTTATTTCTTATCCTTCAACTTACCCCAATTGACAGTCGCAGTTCCACTTGTTGTCCTCCATCCAGATGTCCTCGAGGAAGAGAGTGCGAGGTAAGTTTGGTTTGTAGCCGGTCGACGGATTCTCCAGATTCTGAAGTTCACGGTTCGAGCTCAACTCGATGCTCAGATTCCTCACGTGACGTAAATTCTCGAATAAACTTGTCGGTATCTTCGTCACGCTGGTATTCCTCAAACCAAAGTTTAATTCCGGACTTTGCACACCCTAAAATCACATAACATAATCTTTTCATAACATATCAAATGTGACATGGATCTAATAGACTGAAGTATTTTGTAGTTGTAAAATATTGTAGAGAAACTTTTCTTACAAAAGATATGACAATTAATGTTTATTAAAATAATTTGACTTGCCTGAAGAATACTGTTATCTAATTGCTTCAAAGCTAAGCCAGTAAAAGTGATGTTGCGTAACTTGGATGGAAGTTGGCCTTTCATTTCCATGCGCAAACTCGTGTCCATTTTGTCGATCTGAAAGAAAATCACATTTATTGGTTCATTAAGTAAAGGTTGTTATGACCCTACGTGAATTTCCAAATCTCTCAATCCATATGTCTTCTGGAGAATAGTGGGAATATTGAAGTTCTTCACGTTACGATAAACGCTCATCCTTAGACTTCTTAAAGAGTACATCTTACAAAAGGCTCCATTCTAAAAAAGTAAACAAACAAAGTATAAAATAAGCTTATACTAATCTTTCAGTATTAACTTCTAAGGTGTTTAAATCGAAGTTGGTGATGTCCAAACGCTCAAGGTAATCTGCGACACCCAGAAGACTGGTATTTGTCAACGTTGTAATTGGATTTGAAGCCAGAGACAGTTCACGCAGATTCGTTAAAGAGTGTGTAACAATAGGAACTGCAGTTAAATCGTTGTAATCTAAATTTAATCGCATCAAAGAGCTTATGTTTGCTGCCATCTCTGGTGGAACGGTAGGTAAGTAGTTGTAAGCGAGCGAAAGGGAGAGGAGATTAGGTAATGGTAACTCGGGTACCTGAAATAAGTTGAATTAAGGATTATAATTCTAAAAAGAAAATAACAAATAGTTACGTATGTTAAAGACACGTTGTCTAAGCCTAAATGAAGCAAGGTGTCTTCGATACCTTGGAAACTTTTGCCGTTCCTCTCGAGCACTAACTGCGTGTTGTGGCTCAAATCCAGGCTGGAGAGTCTTGGAAGATTTTCGAAAACGGCGACGTCGATTTGAACCAAACGATTGTAGGATAAATCGAGCCAAGATAAACTCTAAAAAAATGAAGAAATAAATCGTTTAATAGTTAAAGATATTGATTTAGTTTACCTTAAATCTTTCAAATAAACCTCCATGGGCGATGGAAGCAATACTATTCCAAGATAAATCGAATTCACAAAGAGTTGCTGCAGCCTGCACAGACATACTCGTCAACGGTAATCGATTAATTTGATTGTGGGATAAATCCAAGCGCTCCAATCCTTCGAACTTGAACATGTTTTCGGGAAGGAAACGTAACCTGTTGTGACCGAAATCAATAACTCTCAAGTTATCCAAATTTTTGAACAGATCCGTGGGGAGTTCGTGTATAAAGTTGTATTCCGCGTAGAAAACCTACAAAAAAAATGAAGTAATCACACTAAAGGTACTTTGAGCTTTCCTACTTGTAGTTTTTTCGTGTTCCTAAAAGCATCAAAATCGATCTCGAAAAGTCTATTGTGAGAAACGTCCAAATACTGCAGATGCGGTAAACTCCCAAAAATATCCCTGGTGGCGTTAAAGAGTTTGTTATGGCTCATGTGGAGATGCGTCAGAGACAACATTGCGGGTTTGAAGTAGTTCTTGGAGATGAGCGTTATGTTGTTGTAGGATAGATCCAAGATCTTGATGTTGGAATGCAAACCGCCTGCACCTAAACAATAGTAAACGCAAACTTTAAAATTCAAATGCAGCGCGCGTGCTGCTGAAAAGAGTTGCGGAGGCACGTCCTTTGAGAATCGAAGTTTCGCTGATAATTACCTGTGGTTTGCTCGAAATGTGTGTTAATAGTCACGTGTAGATCGGCAATTTTATTGTGGCTCATGTTCACGCTGAACATAGCCAAAGTTCCAACCTGATCGAAGATCGAGAAGTCGAAGATCTTCATTTCATTATAAGCCAAATCTAGATCTTCCAGTTCAGGAAGGTTCTGAAAGGCCTCGTATGAAATTGTGTTTATATCGTTCCCTTTCAAGTTCAATCTTTTCAAATTCTCCAGATTCATAAACGATCTCCTTTCCAAATTTACAATCACATTATCATCCAGATGCAGCTGCTCCAGAGAACTTAAATCAACAAACGTGTGCTGCTGTATAGATTTGATCTGATTGAAAGACAAATAAATCTCCTCCAGATTAGAATGGATGTCGCCTTGGAACGTGCCTTTGTGCACCTCCTCGATAACATTATCCTGCAAGTCTAACTTCCTCAACTTCTTCAGGAAATGGAAACAGGTGTCAGGCATAGATTTCAATCTATTATTACTCAAATCCAAATCTTGCAAATTCACCAAAGATTTGAAAGATTCAGCCGGGATTGTGGTAAGTGACGGAGAAAATCCGTGCGATAATCTAAGTGAAATCAGCGAATGCGCAATCTGCAAATTAAGTTAAGTATTTGAATACATAGTTTCTGGTTATCTTACATCGACGAAAGCTTCAGGTTCTATTGCTGTTATAGCGTTTTCGGAGAAATCGATCTTTCTGAGAGCGTGGACGTATTGAAAGGCATGATTCTTAACGCTCTGCAGTCCGGCTGATATTATTTGCAGCTCCTCCAGATCCACGCCGAAATCTAAAAAATCTTCTGGACTCACGTGCGGCTGCGGCAACTTTGATAATGATAAAAAGCGAAGATTGCGTAATCTATAAAATAAAAACAAATTAATTACGTAATACGTCAAAATTTTGTCAAGAAGCATATGTCAAAACTTAGACAATTTTGGATATAACCAGAATTTGTCGTACATCAAATTGATACTTGGACAATATACTATTATGTCATTTATTGACATCTGTCAAATTAAAAGATTTAATGATCATAAAAGTATATTTAGTTTCAGTTAAAAATAATTCTTAATTTTACCTTCTGAGATCTTGAATAGATATTGGATCCTTTTGGGCGTCGATCAAGTCCAATTTGTAGAGCGTGTATTGGAATCCGGTGAACACTTCCAAAGCATTCATGCCTTGAATCAAATTGTCCCTCAAACTCAAAGTCCTTAGCAGATTTAGCCGATGGAACATATCGGGCATGATAGTGGTAATATTATTTCCTGAAAGATCCAATATTTGCAGATAATTTTCTAATCCTGCAAAAGCCAGTGGTGAGATTTCATCGAGCCCACAGTTGCGCATGTAAAGCTCTCGGATTTTGGCTTGCCTAAACGCATTCTCCTAAATTTAAGAAAAGATTTCAATCTTTCTGATTTTTGTCTTTGATTTACAATTTGTTACCTCTACTGTGTCTAAAGGATTTCCGTTCAAGTAAGTTTTGTTGAGCACGTCGAAGTACTGAAAGGCCCCAGATTGTATTATCGTTATATCGTTGTAGTCGAGACGTAAGGTGTTCAAGTTCATCATGTAATTGAAGTTCTGAGTTTCGCTGGTCAATTCCGGTTGAATCTTGTTGATGCAGTTGTAGCTGATGTCCAAGGTTTTGAGCATCTTCAAAGGTTGCAAAGCTTGATAAGGAATGGCACTGAGCTGGTTATCGGCGAGTATCAGGTTGGCCAATTTGCCCATGCCATCTCTGAAGACGGAAGGATCGATGCGTCGGAGATGATTGCCGCGCAGATCAATTGTGTCCAGGATTGGAAGACCGGAGAAGGCGTCAGTTGGTAGATGGTTGATGCAGTTATCCGAGAGATCTAGAGTTTCCAAGGAGTTGTCCAAACCACGCCAGTTCTCCGGTAATATCTCAGATATATCGTTACCTGGATTAAACGGAGTATTGATACCTTTATTACCGGGTTAAACTATGATTAATTTACCAGCCAAGTCCAGTCGTCGCAGCTTCTGAAGATACCTTAAAGCTCGATTCGGTACCTTAGTAAGTTGATTATGGCTTAGATCCAGCTCCCACAGAGACCTCTCCAAACCCAAGAACGCCTCATCCGGGATATGCGTCAACGGATTATGCTTCACCGTCAACTTGTACAATCCTGTAATTGGCTCAATTAACGCAACGCAATCAATATTTTCCGCCGTCTCCAGTTACCAGTGCTCTGCAGAAAGAACGGTTCCAAATTCCTCAAACCAATATTCTCCAAGTGCAGCATAAACACTTTCGAATTGTTGATGGTTTCAGGAATACGTGGCATGTGGATATCCCTGCATCGGACGATCCCCAAATCCGGCTGCGCCTTGGAACAACTGCACAGCAAATTGAAGTAGCACGGCGGATACCGTACCTCCTCCACCTCTTTAGCTCCGATCATCGAAGTCCAGACCATCAGAAAGAAAGTCACAATTACCAGAGAATAACCGAATCGCAAAATCGCGTACAAATCCTGAAACGTAATTAATTAATTAATATTACACAAGAAATCAATCATTGTTTGTTACGTAATTGTAATTATTGCTTACCATCGTGGTGCTGTTGTTACTGCTACTACTCTGTCTTGCAGAGGATCTGAACAGGCACTGAAACAAATGCACGAGACCATAGTAGTTGTGGGCCGCGTACGGCTTCGCGACTAACGAGATTAAATCCACTTTAATCCAAAAAATGCTGAACAAAATTTATTCAATTTATTCAATGAGACGTATTCAAATCCAATAGACTTTATATATTGTAGGGCGACGGTGAATAACACATTAAATGCAAATCGATGAAATGCGTTGAGATTTGAATGATTTTCGCGTTTGTAAATCTCTAGTGATACAGTTATAAGATGCGTGGGTACCGCCAATTGCTAATTACACAATTCATTAAGACTATTAAGAGAAAAACACGATCTCTTCTGAACGCACAAACTGCAAAACAATAACAACGTTTTCTACGTGACAATTTGTCAATTGCGAACGAAGTATAGGCATACTACGCATAATGCGGATAATCGGTTCCGCCAATATCCCACACTGTTTGAAACTTGACTAATCGAGAAACTTGACTGTATAAAGCGAAAAAAATCGATTAATCGTGTATAACAACATAATTTTGTGTTAATATTTTTTACAGTTCACTTATATTTTGCTCAATTAAAATTTAGATTGTTTCAAACCAAACTGTAGTGAATGTGCACTAACAAAAGCCGCACTATGCGAACTAACTTAGCGTAAATACATGAAAACGTTGAATGTTAACAAATAATTAAAGAATGATAATTTATTGTTTCTTAAAACTAAACAAACTTATTTCATAAAGAATTAGTATTTTGCTTGAATAATCGTATCCCAATTAATATTAGTAATTTATATAATTGAAATTATCTGTCATATCCACTATTCAATAAATTATCAAAAAAAATGCTTTAAAAAATAATATATTAATAAATAAATTTAAACTTTTATACTCAAATTTTTCATAAATTTGTATATTCTTGAATTTCTTGTATTTCTTATACTTCAGATACTTCCGAGATACAACGAGATTAGATCGGGAAATTTGTATTTACAAATTTTCACTTTCAGTTTAATTATTAAAATGAAAAAAAAATATGAAAAGAAATAAATAGTCAATTGTTTGAAAGCAATAATACGCAGTAATAAAGATATGTTGGAAGACTTATAGTGAACATTAATGTGAAGTGGGGAAATGAAGATTAACTTTGATAAAACTTGTCTTGTTTCTTTTGTTAAACTGAACATTTCTACAAAATATATTATATAAGGCGAAATAATAATAATTTATTGGCTAAACATCGATACATAAGAAGAAGAGAAAAAAAAAATACAATTTATACATAAATAAATTTTAACATACAATAAAAATATATATACTAATAGGCTGGCCAAAGGGATAACGAAAGGCGTAATATATTTTCAACTTTTCAAAATTCTTTAATATTATATTATTCTAATAAATTTAACACAATTTAAGTTTTTTTTTATTTTTGCAAATTGTGGTAAGTTCTACATAAATATATAATTAAAAATCAGAACAAATCTATTCAATTCGCTTAGTTAAATATAATACAATACACATGTTTTACTCATGATACAAATACAGCGGAACCTCGCTAAACGAGCACCTCTCATAACGAGTAATTCGCATAATAATCAAAACAAATCATAACAAAAATGACTCGCAACTTTTCTCATAACGAGTGACGAGGAAAATATAAGTCCCGGATTGTGCGCCTGCTACATCATTTTCCAAACTTGTGTGTTTTTATATTTCGTATTTTACATTAATTTATATGAACAAAAAATGATTCGATAAACGAATGTTTCTCGTAACGAGTAAGTTATATAGAGTGGCCCATCAGGTACGCCGGATTTAAATTTCCTTACATTATTTTTTTTGTATTTAAGTTGACAACACTAATATTTGACATTGATCAATTGCTGTTATCGATGTTATTAAAAATGGGTCGCTATACAAAAGAACAACGTATTGTGATTGTTAAAACACATTACAAAGTTGGCCAAAGTTTCTGTGGAGATTGTTTGAAAAACTTTGTTTTTAAACATCAACATTAACGATGAAGCTCATTTTCATTTGGATGGTTTTGTTAATAAGCAGAATTGTCGAATTTGGGGCAATGATAATCCTCGAGTTATTAATGAAAATATGATGAACCCATAAATAGTGACTGTTTTATGCGGATTATTGGACAGTTCTTTTTTGAGAATGATCCAACTTTTTGTAGAATCAATTGGACGACTTGGACCTCGAAGAACTGTAGTTTCAACAGGATGGAGCCACATGCAATGCAGCAAGAGAAACCATCGATTTGTTAAGTTATCATTTTCCTTGTTGTGTGATTTCCAGAAATGCTGACGTTAATTGGCTACCCAGATCTTGCAACTTGACCCCATATGATTTTTTCCTTTAGGGATTTATAAAGTCTAAGGTCTATACTAACGAAAGAGTCGAACCGAAACCGAATCGAAAACCGGAATGAAAAATTACTGAATAGAAAAACCGGAAAAACTGAAACCGGAACGAAATTTGAATTACGGTTAATTTCGGTTCAATTATTTTTAATTTTATTAAATTAATTCATAATCGCTTTCTTTCATGTATGCTCTTTGATAGTAGTGTCCCGGTGCTAGTGTTGAAGTCTATTTGAATACTCTGACTTCTTTTTTCAAATAAACAAATACATAATAAACAAAACCATTAAGGGAACTAATCACTAACTATTTTTTATTTCTTTTGTATTTTTAATTTTATAATTGAAAACAATAGTAAGGAAATTTGGTAAATAATATTAAATCAAAATTTAATATTGGATATTTAATATTGATAATAATATTGGATTTTAAATTTTAATTTCAACCATAACTGAACCGAAATGTTTAGACAAAGCGAAACCGAAACTGGAACAATAAACATTAAACTAATTTCGGTTCAACTCTCTGATACTAACAAACCACAAATAATTCCTCAACTGAAAACAGAGATCCAACGCGTTATTTCTGAAATTGAGCCAACTGACTTGCAAAAAGTGATCGAAAATTTTATCAAAAGGGTCAGCAGGGTATCCCACAATTAATCTCACCATATATACTTTATAAATCAATAAAAAATTCCCAATTAAATAATAATTTACTTTTCAAAATTAAAACCGGCGTATTTTAAGGCTTTCAGATACAGATTCAGATTCAAAAATGATTTATTATATTGTTAATACAGTTACAGTGGTAGTTGTTATAAGGGGGTGGCATATATGTGAGCTTGGGCTCATTTAGCCATTTAAGGCTTTCTAAATCATGGGATTAGTATAGGTTTCCTAGATACATGACAAAAAAAATCAAATCATTTTTAAGTCACTAATTGTATGTAGGCAACCCAAGTATCTTATCCATTTGGTAATTATTTTTCAAATATACGATTGCAATGAGAATATAAATACTTAATACTGAATTGAATAACGTATTTAATTTATTGTATGAAATTTGGGTTCATATTTATATAAAGAATAATTGTTTTTTCTTTGGCCCATTTTCTACCCCATTCTGGTTTATCGGCCACCACAATTTTGTTGTTGCTTTTTGGGGTTCGAACCAATAATTGAATTGCTTTTCATATTATTTATCAAATCTCTTGTTTTCATTATTGTAGTTTAAATTATTTGATCAATTACTATTTTTATAACTTATAGGTAACTTGTATGTAAATAATAAAATACTATTACTTCTGTTTATTTATTTATATTAACCACAGTCTTTTCATCTAAATTAAATTTATTATATATGTTTAATAAACTTTAAAACTTCAATTTATATAAAACCTTTTTTTTTCTTCCACCTGTAAAACTTATTTTGTAATCCAATTGCTTTGTAATATTTTGGCCATCTGTTGGTGGATTTTGAGAAGTTGGATTGGAATGCGTTCACAGATTTCTGGGGGGGTGGCAAATTCACTGGAAATCGATATGATGATAGTTTCGCTGTCAAAATGTGTTTGGATTATAAATAAGTGTTTGAAAAGAGGCGAAAAAGGCGCAATTGCGGTCTAAATTCGTGCCCGCAGATGAATTAGGTAAGAGAACGTCCGCATCCTGAACAGTCCTATAGGAAATGCAATTGGAATTCCCTTCGCTTTCCCGCGTTTCCACAAAAGTTTCACTTGTGTGTATCTGTTGCTCATGATTCTTGTGTATGCTTCATCTTCCAGTAAGCCACGATGCCGTTCAAGCTGAAACTGAAGAAGTCGAGACACTACAGTGTCGTCTCGAAGTCACTGTTTGTTATTTCAGTGGAGTTACTCGATGGGACCAACATTGAATGCACCCTATCATCTGAGAGCACAGGCAAAGACTGTTTAGATGTTGTGTGCCAAAAGCTAAGTCTGAACCAGCCGATATTCTTTGGGCTGCAGTACATGAGCAAAGTGAGGGAGAACCTGTGCTGGCTGGAATTGGACAGGCCGATAAAGAGGCAGCTCGATAAGTATGCAAGAACCCTATGTGTTTACTTGAGGGTGAAGTACTATGTCATATCCGGAGTGAGGCTCTTCAATGATGAAGTCACTAGGTACAGTTAAGCGCTAAATTCATTCCAAGCCCATAACCATTAACAAATACTCCATTTTAGGAATCATTATTTTTTGCAATTGAAGATGGATGTGATCGAGGGACGAATTTCGTGCACAGAAGCGCAGGCTGTTGAACTGGCTAGCTATTGCATGCAGGCGGAATTCGGAAATTTCGACGCTGAGCGACACACCGCTCATTATTTAAAGGACTTTCAGCTTTTTCCCAAAGTAATTTACTTTCGCATTGTCCTAAGTTTCTCACAGCCATCTTTTTTTTCTACTTTAATTAATATGCATACCTTCCATGTAGGAAATGGAAAGTGCTGTACTAATTTGGCTTTGGCATTGATTATTACGTGAATACTAATTGCGTCTATTGTATTTGCTGTTGCAGTGTATTACTGATCCCAGATTTCTGGAGTCTTTGACTGATGCTGCAAGCTCCCAACATGCCGGTCTGCATAACATGCCCCAAGGGACTGCAGAGGAGTATTACATTTGCGCCTGCCAGAGGCTGGATGGCTATGGACAAGAAACCTATGCAGTCACAAATAAGGCTGGAGATGAGGCTTTGGTCAGTGTTTCCTTGACTGGAGTTGTAGTGGTTTTTACAAATGGAAAAGAAGGAAAAACTTACAGGTAAATTGGAATATAATTGGTTTCACTTTCTAGTAAGAAAATCATACTTTTCAAAGTTTTTCAAGACATAGAACACCTTCAGTTATATACATTTTATACAATAGAATAATCACGAAATCTTATACCTGGGGTCAAATATTTAAGTTGCGCCCCCGCAAAAAAACAATACTATTATTTATTACTTGCGCCTCTTTGAAGCGACGCTGAGTATAATAGCTATGATTATTTTGTTATTTACTAAAAATTTATGTTACATAACGCTCCATTGCATATTTTATAATTCGCGGAATTTGTTACTTATATATTTCATAGAACTTTGTCTTTCATACAATGACACACATTCAAATTTATGCAACATTTTTAATTAACAAACTGATTCAAACATTGTATTATTATCCTGATCTATATCTATATCACATTTGCAACAACATACAAAGAGTTCCCAATTTTTAAGTCTTTGTTATCGGGTCGTCATGTTCCAACAGACATTGTGTCTAGGATCTATTGTCCCAATAGACATTGTATTTGGGACATATTGTCCCAATAGGTTTGAAATGGTTAAGGCGTATCCCAAATTCTATTTCGAGTTTATTTACATCAAATTGTCGAATTTTAAGCAATATTTTTGTTATTAACCCGTTTGTTACCCGAAACTTGACTCAGCAAACTTTATGTTATGTATATAATTTAATTGTATAGTAGGAGTTATTTGTTTAATTTTGTTTATTCAATACTCTGATTAATTTTGACAAAATAAATATTACTTAAAAGCTCGTTTAACGTGCGACGTTTCGCTCCATAGATATGAAAAGCAAAATCATTAAAAAGCGAGACCAAGTTATAATTTTTTTTCAATTTTTTATACTATTTTTTTACTTTTATTATTGTATTTTATAGTTGGGCAAATATCAGCAATGTTATTAATCACAAGAGAGATTTCACGATCGAATCTTTGGCTGGAATGGACAAGGCTGAGTTTAGTTTCCCGGATGTAGAAAGCGCGCGGAACGCCTGGAGGTTCTGCGTGCTGCAGCACATGTTCTTCAGGCAGTACGAGAGCAACGTGGAATCGTCTGAAAAAGCGATGCCGAACTTCCAAGCAGTTGAGAACAAGATGAGACAGATGGACAGCTACGAGGATATCACAGGATTGGACCACCAATCGAGCATGCACCTGACGCAACGAGCCCAATCCACGTCCTGTCTGGATCTGAACACGCCCACCGATATCGATAAACTTCGCAGCTTACTACCCTCCTACAGACCCGCCCCCGACTACGAAACGGCTGTGCAACAGAAGTACAGGAATTCTGCCGGTGCCATCCAAAGTCAGCAGCCGCTGAGAAACACGCATTTGCTGTACAGTTCGCAACCGGAAATCCACCAGACGGAGGGTTACGCTAATCTTCGTTACCCCGACGTGACGCACAACAACATCGAGCAGAAGATGTTCAGCACGAATTACACGCAATCGCAGATACTTTCATCAGGTGAAAACAGAAACTTACAAAACTTGGCGGAGAAAATGCAATTCCTGCAGCTGGCCAAACCGCCTCCTCCTTATCCTAGTAATCGAATGAGTTCGAACTCGACGCCGGATTTGGCTGGAATGTCTCAACTGGCTAAACCACAAGCCACGTTCATCCACAGCAACGTGTCGGGTTCAAGTCCGGATTTGGTTTCCAGCGGGAATTTCTTAAATCAACACTACATCAAGTACGGGCCGATGTACACCAACCAGGTGCACAGGTCGCAGAGCTATTTACCGCCGCAGCATGGAACTTACGAGAATCTAGCATCTATTTTCAATAATAACATGGTTAGCGGTCGTCCTCAGGCTTTGATTGTGGAAGATCCCAACATTACGAAGCATATTAAGAAAGTATACGACGAGCACGGTAACATAATTTACTGCATGCCCGCAAACATGAAGCAAATCCTAGAGGATAATCAAATATCGAGCACCGGTTTCGTGGTGACTAGAAACCAAATCCACTCGCCCGATTTAAACAATTCCACGGAACCGATCTACGAGAATATTCCTTTACCGTGGCAGAACGAGGGTCAGATGAGGGCGCGTACTCAAAGTATCCAATCCGCCCCGGAGGTCAGCCAGGTCATCAACCATGCTGTGGTCAATGCGATCATGCAGAACAAGGAGAGTTTGTATGCGAACGTGGTGGATAATAACCACAAAACTTCATCCAAAACGGATTTGAATGGGAGCGCGCAATCGACGGAACAACCGGAGATCAAATTTGAGCAGAGCAGTCCGCAACAACCGGACTCTCCGAATCAGATGAGCCGGACCAGCACGTTCATAATCAACAAGAACTCTTCCTCGTTGAATTCTTCGACATCGAGCCACGCGTTCAATGACTCTGGAAACATCAGCAACGAGACCTTCGCCACAGATGCAAGTTCCACCTCGGGTGGCAAAAAGAAACGACGATGGGCGATTCTTTTAGGCCGCACCAAATCTAACGAGAAGATCAAAAGCGCGACGCTAGGAAGGGAGAAGGAGAAGAACAAGGATAAAAAGAATCAAGGCAACAACAGACATCGCTGGTCCACTGGTTTACCCAGGTACAATCCTTTGCCGCCTTCAATCAGTAAAGAAGCTATGGTATGTATCAATTTGTTTTATTTACGCACATTATTAAGGATATTTTAAATTATTGTAGTGCCAATTGCTGGAGAACAAATTGGCGGATAGCCAGCTGTTTTTCGAATTTGACAAAATTCCAAAGAAGAAACAGAACTCCGAGTTTACGACGGCCTCGATGCCCGAGAACAGTGCCCTTAATAGGTTTAAGGACGTGCTTCCGTATGAGGACAATCGACTGAGGCTGACTCCGTCCAGGGAGAACAAATACGGCTACATCAACGCTTCGCATATCACCGTACGTATCTGATCTTGATTGAATTGGATATGAAATGATTGAGAGTTGTTATTTCAGGCGACGGTCGGCAGCAAACAAAGATTCTATATAGCAGCTCAAGGCCCGACGAGGCAAACGCTTCCGCATTTCTGGCAGTGCGTTTGGGAGGCGGAAGTCTATCTTGTAGTTCAACTCACCGATCCCACCGAAGATCCTAACTATTTACCAGACGCTAGAGAAAGGTCTATAGACGTAGGACAAGTGAGTATATGTTTACCATTCTCATATGAATAATCTTGAACTCAACATTTTTCACTAGTAAATGAAGTGAATTTGCACAACAAAAAAATATTTGAAAAAACTTATCTCTTATTACACGATTTGGAATCTTGTCGCATGTTATTCGAGTACTAAATAGTGTTGCTGAACCGGGAAATCCGGGAAAAGATATGTATAATGCACTTTTAGATAGACTTGGATAACGGAGGGATAAACGAACTATGACTATGTTGAAATATCTACATATTTCAGAAACTTATAAATCTGGAGAAGATATTTTTTCTAGTTGTTCAAAATCAGCTATAATTGCTGAATCGACTGTTTTAAATGCTGTTGCGAAACTGAGCAACCCTGGCACTAACTGTACTATTATTTAGACTTGAAAAATATATTTATATTTGCTCACGATAATTTCGCTAAATTAATATTTAATTTCTAGGATTTCCAAGTTCTGTGGGAGTTTTCGCAAAAGACAGGCCACTGCATAACAAGCAAAGTGAGGCTGTGCCACGTGTCTTCCAGAAGGTACAGAACCATATGGCATCTGCACTACACGGACTGGGGAGAGCAAGGATGCCCGCATTCTGTAGCGCATTTCCTCGGTTTTCTAGAGGAGCTGCAGTCCGTGCAGCAGCATTTAATGGTGGAAATCCCGCCAGGACATAACAAGAACCCTCCCGTCTTCGTCCACTGCACAGCTGGCGTCGGTCGCACAGGATTAACAGTCCTGTGCGATTTACTCCTGTACACGGTCGATCACAATCAAGTAATAACCCATAATCCGAAATGTTTCAACATTAATGAATTATTGTGTGTGTTTCAGGAAGTCGATATACCGAGGGTTGTAGGATTGTTGAGGCACCAGCGACCGTTCATGGTACAAACGATAGCCCAGTACAGGTTCGTCTACTCGCTGCTCATCCACTATCTCAAGCAGACTCGACTAATCTGAAGAATTAAAGCAACCCGTGCCATCTTTCCGTCTTATTATTTTTATTTCAAGTTTGTTTTTTTTAAATTTTTGTTTATTAATTACTTTTATTCTGCATGCTATGATTATTATTAATACTTTTAAGTTTAATTGAAAACGAATCCATCCAAATATTTATTATATACAATTCTCTTATTAAGTTCTTTATATACCTACATACTTAATTACATAATTATCTTCTTTTTTTTCTATTATTATTTTGGAACAAAAATCACTGCAGTATTTCGCTTCTGAGCTTACAGTAAGTTCGAAAAATAAGAGAAACTTTTCTTTTATTCGTTTCATTTTCCCTACTACGGTTCTTCTATTGACTAGTATTACTACTATCGACGATTGGTGTACTTAAATGCCCTCCGCTTCCGCCAGTTCGGCACGAAACGTGTTTGACTAATTGAATAATTCTGTTGAGAGACAAAACAATTTGTTTTTTTTTTGTTATATATATTTAATATATATAATATGAAATGAAAAAGGCTGTGTATTGTGTATGAAATATATATTTTTTTTATATCTTTGAAGCAAATGTATAATTGTGATGCCAGTGCCTTATGTAATTAATTGTTTATATGAATAATAATTCTAGATGATTCACGAGAGAAGAAAATTATACAATTCAATTGGTACATTTAAAAAAAAAATTGTGTCTGGATATCATAATATGCAATATTGTATTTTTTTAACATCTGATTTACAAATATACATGTAATAAATAATGAAATGTTCGTATTTTTATACATATTACTTTTTTATTTAATCCAGATTCAACGTTCATTTCCAAATTTTATAAAATATTACAAAATTTCAGTAATTATTTCGCCTCATGTTTCTAATAAGAATATGTATGTTCGAGTTTTTCTCTCGAAAAAACGTATTTGTATAAAATACTTATAAAATATTTAAATACTTCTATATTCTTTTCTAAGTAACAACAAAAAATATTAATGTTATTTTATCATTAAACTTTTGCCATAAACTAGAAGAAAATATAAGTATAATGCACAAAACCTCTGCAAATGTTGGTTAGCTAACGATACGTTAATTTTGACGTTAACAATCATTTTATTAAGTACCTACAAGACGCACCTTTTTACATAGAAAAATGGAATCAAATTTACGTCTTATGGTCCGAAGATAACAATAAAAAAAATTAATAAATCGTCTATATTTGAAAATAAAACAAAAAAGACTTTGATATAACGTGAGATATAAACTAAATGTGATCAATTATGCAAAACAATATGGAAACAGAGAAGCAGAAAGACATTTTGGTCCACCACCAACAGATAAAATAGTTCGAGAATTGAGAAAACAAGAACAATTAAAACTGCTAAGTAAAGACAAGAAAACATTCAGTTTGCACTTATTAACGATACGTTAATTTTGACGTTAACAATCATTTTATTAAGTACGTATTTTCGGACTATAAGACGCACCGCTTTACATAGAAAAATGGACTCAAATTTTGCGTCTTATGGTTCGAAGGTAAACATAGCAGCAGAAAGACATTTTGGTCCACCACCAACAGAGAAAATAGTTCGGGAATGGATAAAACAAGAACAATTAAATCCGTTCGCACGGAAAGAAAAATGGACTCAAATCGTCTAAATTTGAGGTGCGTCTTATAGTCCAAAAACTATTTACAGTGGAACTTCGCTTAACGAGTTTAATCTGATCCAAAATTTCCGGATTTTTACTCGTATAGTGAAACATATTCAAAAATGCACATAATATGTGTACACAAGTTTTAAAAATGATGTAGAAGGCGCACAATCCGGGACTTCTCTTCTCATCGTTATGCTTTGCTCGTTAAGCGAGTCATTTTTCTTACAATTAATTTTACTCGTTAAGCGAAATTCCATTGTACTTTAAAATGTACTATTTATAGTTATTTCTCTTCTAGATTTTGTACAATTCTATGTCATAAAAATGTTCTTAGTATGAATATTAGGGTATTTAAAAAATAATTATTACTTTGTATTAAACAACTTACAACAAATATATATTTCAATATCAAAAAAATATGAAACTTACATTACATTAAAAAAAATATTTGTAAACTATATACAAAAATTTTGGACGGATCTTTAATATCAATACATAAAAAAATCAATATATATATATATAAACTATAATACAGCTGCTAAAATTGTAATGGCACCCAACATTATAACAACAACAATGTTTGATCCAAAACTGGTGGGAGCACTGTTGCAGCGATGATCCAAGAAACAGAAGCTGTATTCAATTTTGTCATAATAAGTCCTGCAATGGAAATAATATAAATTAAATTAATTAACTTTATATTTAAAGGAAATGTTACCTGTGAATATCAAGCTCTTTTATTGAATTATTAACGTAATGTCCCAATTTCACATCTTTGGCTGCCAATCGGGTACCTTCATATGTATCTGGTGGTATATCAGTTCTTATTGCTTTAATACGACTTAAGCATGATCTTGTAATTACTTTTTCAGCTAAAAAAATAGTTTAAAGTAATCAAAGAAAAATATAATTATTTAAGATTCGACTCATACCTCCTTTGGTTTCTTCAATCTTCACACAAATATCATTATCCTCTTTGCACACATGACTCCACATGAAGTAATAATTGAAGTCATCTCCGCAGCCTGGTTGTGTGCTCACACATTCGAAGCACCAGAGTGCAAATGCTGTAAAGTACAATAGAATCACATTAGAAACACCACACCCACAAAACCTATGGGCTTTAAATTGCCAGCAACAATTCTTCAGCACACAATTACGCAGTCTTTTACAAACTGAAACTTACACGAATTTACAAGAGCTACAAATATTATTAGCGAACTGAGTGTATGCATTTTTATGAAGCTACTTTTATACAATTTAGATGGAAAAACAAAATATCTGTTTACTAATTACTTCGTGTTTATGCTTGTGTGTACTATGAGTCAACTCAACTGAAGTGACTGAAGTTAGCTTAATATGGTGAAGAAGTTAAGCATTGGATGCGCACAATACCTGTCTGAATATGTTTCTTATCCATGAATTTGAATAATCTGCTTTTTCGGTGGCAATCGCAAGCCCGACATACCGTCAATCAAATTGCCGACGTTCGAAATCCCGACATTTGAAATGCCGACTGTATCGAAATCCCGACGTTCGAAATCCCGACTGCACTAAAATCCCGACTATATCAAAAATGTCTACAATAGCATTTTTAAATTATTCCGGAGCGTAGTGACTTTTAAATTGTTATTAATAATAAATAATAACAATTAATAATCTAATTGTATTTGAGATTATTTCATAATGTTAAGGTCATAATGTTATTATGAATAATTCAACAAAATCAAATAAATTTATAATAATTTATTGTTATTAATAATAAAAGTGTAGCACAAGGTGACTACGCTCCGAAATAATTTAAAAATGTTATTGTAAAAATTTTCGATATAGTCGGGATTATGGTTGTCGAGATTTTGATACAGTCGGGATTTCGATAGACGGTCTTTCGGTAAGATTGCGATATAGTCGGGATTTATTATTGATACAGTCGGGATTTCAATAGACGGTCTTTCGGTTGTCGGAAATTGCGATATAGAACCCTGCTTTTTCTCATTAAATAATATTTAACATTTACGTATATCCTTTCTTGTAGAATTTCTGTAAATCATTTTAAAAACAGTGTTTTTAAAGATTAAGGATGAAATGTAGGAAGATATCAAAATGGATCTAGTTGTAACACAGTCTCATTTATTTCTTGTTCTTTTGTTCTTTTTTTGCGGTTTTACGAACAATTTGTTGCTTTGCATCAACATTTCCATCCTGGACATTCAAAGGATTATTATTGCGTTGGGAATTCAATAAGTCATTGACTTTCGAAATCCAAGATATAACTTGTTTTTCGACGCAAGCATCGATCGCGATGTTGAACAAGTCGTGGGTTTTGCACGTCTCAATCATACTGAGATTGTCTTTGCAAAGATTACATATTTTTTGCATTAGGTGTTCATGATTACAAATGTTTGGCAACAGACAATTCGTGATGTTGAAAGTGTTAATAAGTAACTTCATTAGTGACTGATGCGACTCGGAATCTGCAACATACACGAGCGATTCCTTACACTTTTCGCATCCTTTAACAGCTTTGATCAATTTCTCAATAACATTCTCAATGTCATCTGCGTATGGATCGATTGCTTCGTTAGTTAATTCGACATGTGGTAATGGTTCTTGTAAAGGTTCTACTTCCTGAGCATCCTTAGGTTCTTCTGCTAGCAATCCCCTTAGGATGCTCAGCATCATCTCCTGTTCTTTCTTCTCTCCGCCGTTCGAACCGGGGGAATCCGAAGACATGAGATTGTTGATGAGCATGTTTTTGTAGGAACTTATGAAAGAGTTCGGGTTCGGACAGGAATCGCGTTCGCCCTTCTTCCGCATGCTTTGGAAGAAGTTCTCGATCTCCTGCAGGTTTAAACTGGCGCACGACAATTGCTTGATTTGACTCTTTTGGAGCGTTTTCCATACAAACTCGAAGCTGGTCATAGTTTTAATCCAGTTCGCCACAGTCGCAGCGACTGTATCTTTATTGTTACAGGTGGCGAACCGGACGCTGCTCAAAATTTGAATTGCTTCCTTCCAGAAAGTCATGTGTGGAGATTTTGGCGTGACACACCCTTTCAGTGGAGCCCATTCTTCGTGTTGCAACGACGAACAGTTCAAGCTATCGAAGAGGTTATTTACAAATCCTATGAATTTCGCAGTTCCTGCGGAAGTTCTCGATAAAGTATTTCCTGTGAAACAAAAACAACAGTATACAATTATGTTGAATAAGTTAGGTGGTCAACGTGGGGCAACCAAAGTATGAATTATTGTTGAACTAAATTCTTACTTAAGTACTTTCGTTTTTAGACTACCACTTCGTCACTCAGCCTGAGCAGGGAATAATTTCACCAGTTTCTGCCTTGTGACTAGAATACTTATTTTACTATATAAAATTACCTGGAATATTCGCCGCGTTACCTATGGCCGTGGAAACCCTAAGCGAGAATAATTGAGCCGCATTCTTCACACTCGACTTATCAATTTTATCCTTATAGATATGTTTGCCTGATATCTTGTAGCATAAAGGATATTCGTTGGTTTGATCCTCTTCATAAAATTGTATGATATCATTCCACGAGGCAAACATGCTTTGTCCTGAATATTACATTTATCAAAAACAATAAACTAAACATATAAAAATTTACTTACCTTGCATCGTAAATCTTAAATTGTTATTTAAAAGGTTGTTCCTCAATCCTAGCAGCATATGCGGAACATCGAACAGAGGAACTATAGGTTCTTCATCATCACCAATGGTAAATCCTACGCCTTCGTACAGCAATCCATTTTCGACTAAATGAATTGTACTTGCATTCTCCAAATCATTAATTGCATTAACGTTTACCGCTATATCAGTACAAACGGTAGCAAGCACTTGTAATCCTACACCGCGCAAAGCAACAACGATATCCTTTATATTCTTGGCTAAATCGCAAGAGGACATTTGTGGTTCGGAGAAAAAGAAAGCCACAGGTTGCTTCCACTGCCTGGACAATCCTTTGGCCATGAAAACCGTGACATGATCCGCGTAACGATTTTCCTTGGTCTCTCCGTCATGCTTCAGTCCATCGATGCGATCAAATTTGTTGTTGTAAGATAACGTAGGCTCCAGAGGCATCTCCTTAAACATCAGCACGCAATTCCTATCTTTCGCACTCATACCATCAACCGCCTGCTTCAGAGCGTTCATAACTCTCTGATTAATGCCGCAATGTACAGAGATGTTGTTCAACAAACTCTTTGCCGTATTCCTCGACGGTAAGGCGAACGTGTTTTGCAGCAGGTTATAACCCTGGTGGTTCAGCTTGAGCAAGGACAACGCGTAAATCTTATCATCAAAGGAGAATCTCCTTGCGCCAGGAGAGGCGCGATGGTGCCTCAGCTGCGACATCAAAAAGTTCGCAATCGCCGAATTCCCATGGCAATTCTCGAAGTAATTCCTGTACTCGGTGGCTTCTTTCACCTTCTGCTTATTCTTCTCCCTGTCGATCATGAATCTGGACAGCTTCTTCTTCAACACGTTCGTCGCCTCGTACAGTTTCAAAGCCGTCGGAGATAATTGATTCTTTCGCGATACATTGCACATTCTGAGCAGTCTTTTAGTATCTAAAGTAAAAATAAATCAGATTAACAAATCTCTTTGCATCAATAATCAATTACCTAATGTATAATTAGAAGTTTCTGATGAACTCCCTAAGGTTAAAAAAAAACAAATTAAAATCCCTAAAGATCAGATTTCAAGCAAAAACTATATAATACCTTGTTCTATGCTAGTTGAGGGCAATGTAGTATCATCATTATTGCTTTCATCAAAACTTTCTGAAAATAATAAATTAATCGATTTAAATTAATTGATAATCATAAGAAACTCACCTGAAAAGGGTGCGGAAACAACTTTTGACTTTTTCCGCTTACCCAACACCTTTTTTCTTTTATTCTTAAACGCATACAAATATTGCTTATTAACTGAAATCAAATCACGATTAAAATCACAAATTCAACATCTCAATTAATCCTTACTTAAATGAAGAGAACCGATGTTCGGGGTTATCGTTCCAGATCTTGGCAATTGACCCGCCTTTAAAACCCTTAAAGCAAGATTACCCTTTAAGTCTGAAATTGTTTAAACGTTAAAATCATAACTACATATCAATGGTTTTCCACAATACTAAGTAATCTACAACTAATTAAAAACGCGAAGTAAATAAATAATAACCTTTTCGTTTAAATATCACATTATTTCTTCGTTTTAAGTTTACTTTCTTTCCTAAAACAAAATTAATTAAAGAAATTAATTAATTAACATCATATTTTTTTTTTGTAACTTACCTAAAGTAGATGAGGTTTCAGTGGAAGTAGAACTAGACGGAAACGCTTCCAATTCGTCTGGCGTCAAAACATTCAACGTTTGTCCACACAACGAACCTGAAACATAATTTTCATGAAAAACAAAATTATTTTTTTCTAATTTTCGTTAATCATACCTTCCGTGATGATTGTCACTTCGGTCCTATCAGAATTATTCACATCTTTATAAAAAAAATAAACAATAATTAAAAATTTAAAAATCAATGTTTTTTCCAATGAAAATTACCAGAATCTCGAAAATCTGCATCAGCCGAATTTAATTGATCTAAAAGTGAAACAGATGATGGATTCGAAATGGTTTCAATACTATACGTTAATATATTGGAATTTGGATTTAAGTCTTCTTCTACAACAAATATTTTTTTTTACAATAATAAAATTGATTATATAAAAATTAAAATTACCTTTATTCTGGTTCAATATTACAGTTTCAACACTTGGTATATCTAAAAGAATTTTAAAAAAAATACATAATAATTTTAAATTATGCACACTAAAATGTTATTAATTGAGATATAAACAAATCTTATTAAATAAAATAAAAATTGAGGGAAATGCAAAAAAATATTATAAAACAAATAAACCAATAAGATTTACTTCTACAATTTACTTTTCAAAAGAAATATTACTTAATATATGAAGAAATTCTTAAATAATGATTGTTTACCTTTCAGTGGAGACTGTTTACTATTAATACCAATGACAGATATTTGGTTAGTTTCTAAAACAGAAAATAATGTTATACTTTTAAATTGAATATAAGGTAATTCGGTAGAACGCAGTTTACTGGAAGCATAAAGTTTAACTGTATATTATAGAAATTGTACCTAAATTCTCAGGTTTCCAATAAGAAGTACTTGGTAATTGAACATCTGTATCAGTTTTTGCTAGTTTCCAACTAGGTTTAGATTCTGAAATGAAAAGTAATTAATTATTATTTTATATATTTATACTAAATATTTACTTAATGATGAATCTATCAATTACCTAAATTCTCAGGTTTCCAATAAGAAGTACTTGGTAATTGAACATCTGTATCAGTTTTTCCTAGTTTCCAACTAGGTTTAGATTCTGAAATGAAAAGTAATTAATTATTATTTTATATATTTATACTAAATATTTACTTAATGATGAATCTATCAATTTCCGACCAGGTTGAATATTATCTGAAAAATGAAACTTATTGAAATACATAAACCAAATAAACATAAGAATTCAGACTTCGTATAGTTTAGATCAGAGTTTATCAACCTATGGGTTACGTAATGACAGCTGTCACCTTGTATCAAAGCGAGAAACTGGTGAAATACTTTCAGCAATTGTGTCCCTGTTCAACATCAAACAAATATGTTGGGTCGTGTGGCAAAAATCTTGACAAACAAAACAAATAAACAGAAGAATCCAGACTTCGTATAGTCTAGATAAGAGTTTCTCAACCTATGGGTATCGAAATGACAGCTTTCACCTTGTATCAAAGCGAGAAACTGGTGGAATACTGTCAGCAATTGTGTGCCTGTTCAACATCAAACAAATATGTTGGGTCGAATGGCAAAAATGTTGAGAAACGCTGGTACATAAAAGCGATTTTCAACCGGTGGTCATTAATTTTTTTTCGATAAAAACACAAAGCAAAACTAGTGTACATATAATTTAAGTATGCCTTGAAATAGTTTAACTTGAAAGCCGTGATATGAGTAAATGGATAAAAAGCAATGATCTAAATCAGGGGTTCCCCACCACTGTATACCCTAGAGTAGAGCTTCCAAATCGGTATGCCACAAAAATATTCTAAAATATTGGAATTAAAATTTAAATATTTTGTTGCAAAGTCTGATAGCATATGAGGGCTTATTTATGGTATTCCATGACGTGAAAAAATCGACCATGACGTGTTGAAAATCACTGCATTAGAGTTCATTTTTCAAAATTAGAGCACTTCCAAGTTAACGATTCTTTTCCTAAGCATTTTCGTGAAGGAACAGCGGCGGGCACACATAAATTGGAAAAAGGATCATAAGGTTGGGAACCCCTGATCGAAATTATGGTAAAAACAATCTAACAATATAAAATACACTAATTACATTACATCCGTAAGAAAATAATTGCAAGATCAAAAAAGTCTTCAAGAAAACTGCGTCAACTTCACTAAACCAAAATATAATTTAAAATGAAAAACGAAAACTTACTTGTTTTTAATGGTTTACAATAATTGTGTTCTTCGCATTGTTGAGAAAATTCTTTGTTTATAGAATCTGTAATAATAAAATGATTTGGTAAATTCATTAATAAAAACTAATCTACTAATATTTTTACCTGCATGATTTGTGTCATCAACTTCAGTTGTGATTTCTAATGGCTCTAAAAAGAATAATTATTAAAATTTAATTAATATGTTTTTTTTGTATAAATACATTGATTGAAGTTTATTTATTTGGACTAACTTAGTTCGTAATGACTATAAATATTGGATTGACCATTAGTTTTGTCTAAAAATTCAAATTCGATACTTTCACGCAATTGGATATTTCTTTGAAAATATATTACCTAATTCAATTAATATACTAATTTTAGCTAATTTTGGTCAAAAACGACCCAAATGTTTCTGTTAAGACAATTTTGTCTAAGAGAAATTATTTTATTTTTTTCTATTTTAAATTCCCATTTTACAAAAGAAATATTGATTTAAAAAGTTGCCTATTTTAAATAACAAAACTTGTTTTCTTTAGTTTTATCGTTCCATCGACGTTTATATAATTATTATCACAACCGATTTTCTATTTCGTTGTTATTTGTTAATGTTAATAAAAATTTCGATCTTTTTTTTCTATTTAATATGTTAAATTTTTGATTAATTTAACTTCCCTAAAAATAGTAATTTAAAAGAAAGAAATTACAATACAATATATTTGCGGTGGCAATCGCAAGCCCGACAACCGAAATACCGTCAATCAAATTCCCGACGTTCGAAATCCCGACTATATCGAAAATGTCTACAATAACATTTTTAAATTATTCCGAAGCGTAGTGACTTTTAAATTGCTATTAATAATAAATAATAACAATTAATAATCTAATTGTATTTGAGATAATTTCATTTAACATTATGAATAATTCAACAAAATCAAATAAATTAATAATAATTTAGTGTTATTAATAATAAAAGTGTAGCACAAGGTGACTACGCTCCGAAATAATTTAAAAATGTTATTGTAAAAATTTTCGATATAGTCGGGATTATGTTTGTCGGGATTATGGTTTGTCAAGATTCTGATACAGTTATGGTTGTCAATATTTTGATATAGTCGGGATTTCGATACAGTCAAGATTTCAAAAGTCGGGATTTCAATAGACGATCTTTCGGTTGTCGGGCTTGCGATATAGACCCGACCAATATATTTGAAGCATTAAGGTCAATCTGTGTATTATAAAATTTGAAGAGAAATGAGTATAAAACCAACAAGACCTAATTGAAACAAAATTTAAATTGTTTTTTTGGTTGCATAACATACTAATTACCTGGTAGATACAATTCGGGGACTGCACAATCAATCAGATTGGTTTTACTGTTGAACGGAACTTTTTTCCATCTATCGCTGAAATGAGCGTCGCAAATCACAAAAATTCTGCATAATCTGTCCCGATCCATGGTCAGAAATTCGGGTCTCCCTACAGCCTGTATCCACTTCAAACATTTCTGCAAATAAATTACATTTCTAACAATAACTTCAACTGATAACATGTAAAGTGAACTCACTTTGCTATCGCGTGGAAATCTGTGCTGAGGTTTTACGTTCTTCTTGCATCCTTCAACGCAACACTTCGTCATTTTCAAATGCGAAAAATAAAAACTGAAAACCCCAATAAAGAAAACTGAAAAATCTAATAAAGAACTGAAGTATTGTTGAAAATTCAAAACTTTAAGCATCTATTTCTTTTATTGGAACAATGTCCACCATATCTTTGTGGAATAACGAATGTGATGTCAGTGCTGGTCAGTGCACCCCCGTTGATGTATTGAAAACACTTAGTATTTTGGTATTTTCACTGCTATTTTATACATACACGAACATTGCACATCTAACCTAGATTTATTTCAGAATGTTGCGCGCATCATTCCAAAGATGGCAATAGCAATTCGTTCTTTGTGAGGTCATTCTTTTTTATCTTCAGTTTTGTCCAACACGTTGTCTATACTACAATATCATTCTCGAAGAAAATGTTTTGATGTACTGCTATAGAAACAGTGATACAATTGTCTATTAAATACTAAAATATTACTTCTAATATACTAATTTTTATTTAAAGAAGGAGCTTTCTTTTATACAATTATTTTATTTAGAGGTGTTAATTGAATTTTCAATAATTAATAACTTCAGAAGTTTTTTCATTATTTCTTATCCTCCATAATTACATCCAATAATCGTTTATTTTCAATTATTTGTAAGTTTTCAAATCAAGAAACATTTATTTAAATATTGAATACTTGATTATTTGAATTGAGCTTACCTACTAATATTGTTTCTGCTTTTAAGATAATATGGAATGTCTCTGCATATTGCCTGTATTGTCTAAATCTAAGTTGCTGATGATGATTATCGATTGAATAACTTAATCTATTTGCGTTTTAGATATGCAAATATTGTTTCATTGTATTTAAAATAACTTCATGAATTTAATAATTTGTAATTTAGCTTTAGATACTTTGATTACATCAAACATTAAGACTATTGTCTAGTGAAATATTTATATTTTAATATCAAATAAGAAAAAAAACTGGTATTTGTTGAGTTCCTTAGCGCTTACTCGATATAACGCCCCCTACTTGAAGATAATAAATTTACTCCACTTTACGACCACTCGCACTTACGACCAATCGAGTTTCGACCTGCATTTCGGGGAATTTTTATGATTTTACAACTGTCCACTCGAGGCACAAGATCCTCGCTTATTGGCCAATTCGCTTATCGACGTAGTCGTCGAAACGGAACTCAGTTATAAAGTGAAGACCTGCATATAAATACAACTTCCTTTAATTTGTCTTGTTTTGCGATTGTCTTCTAGGAACGTATACTTTTTGCTAAACGATGTCTGTAGTAAATTTCGTATACAACAATTTAAAGTAATGAAATGGAGTTTAATGTAAAGATATCTTTCAATTAATACTAGTTGATTATTATTCTTTCATGTTTGTTTACAAATGTGACAGTTGTCTTATATGTATGTCATATGTATACTAGAATTAAAGTTGTTTTTATACTTGATCTTAATAGATTTTCAGATAATCTAAGTAGTATATTGTCCGCTTTGGATTGTTAAAGTAAATAAAACGAATAAGTTTAAAATAGTCATAACTAGTAGCACTTTGATACACATGGGTTAATAAAAATGTGTTAATAATATAAAATATCATACATTTTGGTACTAACATAATAAAATTCATCTTATTAATTGAATATGAGTTATTTCATAGGTGCGTCAAAGCTGGAATAGTGTGTTGTCACCTTAATCAGTAAATACAGGATGCGTAAGATATTTGAGGACAGATTTATGTAATTAACAAATACTAAAAAATAAATTGACTTTATTTGTGAAAATTTTGATTGAAGTCATTATATTTCTTTGTAAAATCATTCAGCACCAATAACTGCCTCTATACGAGATCTAAATCATCGACAAGTTTGAATTAAATGATTATGATGCATAGACGATTCTCTGACTATAGCAGCGTTCAAGAAATCTTTAGTGTTATGGGGGTGTTCATTGACCTCTCACATAACAACACTGCACACTTAATAATCCAAGATATTATGGTCCCGAAAGTTAGGAGTTCTTTTGCAAGTGACCGCATACACTTTATGTGATCATTATTAATGGTTTGTAGTAGTGATTTCCAAAGTTTTTCTACGCATACCCATTTTTCGATCTTTTCAAAGTGCTACGGACCAAAAAGTTTGAGAAACACTGGTTTTTTATTCTCCTTCGTCAAATTTTGGCGTTCTCATTCTGTCAGAGCGTTTTGAATGCTTTTGACACTTGGACACTTTTAATATGTTACCATCTTTATTCTCCTACCAATTACGAACTTTTTATATTAGAATTTTTCCGCGGCGTCCCGAGTCAAAACATTTGTCTATCATCTCAGGGCGAACTTTATGTTAATATATCAGAATTTGCTATACGCAGTGCCCTGATCATTCAAAACACAATATTATGTAATTTCATTTCTTGAGTCACATGGGGGGCTCTGGAGATTGCCATTACAATGAGCAACCTGAAAAGTATAATTTATTAGAATGCAGTACAGCTAATAGAAAAGGATTTCCTCAAATATATTACCTGTATTTGTTACAGTTTATCAAGTTAGAAAAACTGTTCACTTATCATATCTTCATATCAGGGAGATCATTATGAAAAACCTCGGTAAGATTATGATTTAGTTAGTATTATTTGTAGATTTGCATAGTTTTATTAGGTATTACAAAGTTGGTCCCCCTGACTTGGTCCCCCTGCATAGTTTTATTAGGTATTACAAAGTTGGTGTAGTGTGCGGTCACCTTAACATTTCAAAAACAGATTACCAACTTAGGAAAACTGTTTACCAACTTTAACAGAAGGATAACTGTAATGAGGTTAGGTATGACGCAAACCTATTGGACTACAGATGTCGTTGTAGGCTGCATCGCATGGAATCATGCGGTGTCGCGCGGGTGTGCGGGGTGCCGCTGAGAGCAAGCCCAACATACATGAGCAGCGTACGAATGCGCGTGTTCAGGTGCGCCGTGACCGTTGCGTTGTCTAGATTCTTTGTACCATTCCTGGCATACCAATAACAGACAAACTGTACGTATTTACGGATTAAAATCCGTCCTAATTAGTGTGAAAGTGGGCGCTGGCGTGCGGATCTTCGTCTCTGGTAAGTGTCCCGACGCCGTGGCGTCGTTTTCCATACAATTCGCGCCGCGTTTCCCCACGAAATGTCCACTAGAATGCGAGAAATGTGCCCACAATTCCTACAATAGTTTACATACTTGTCATGCTTGTGCTGCTTGCTTGTTGATACACACACACACGGACGCACGGATACACACACACACATGCATTGTGCATATACGTGAATGCATACACACAAGCAGACGGAGCCGATGATCCGCGGTGGCTGCGATTCAAAAATCGCATCTTGTCCACACTCTCTCAGTTCTCGCTCGATTTTGGTGGTGCAACAAATGTATATTGGATGGATGTAACGGGACCACGGGGCAACCTGGACTGGACGTGCGGTGAGCAGATTTCGAACGCGGACAATTTTCGCGCCGTTCCAAGGATACGATGCATTAATGCCATACTCCAGAAACTACCGTCTCCAGAAGGAAGGAAAGAGCGTCTCCTCCTTGGTCGTCCTCCTCGTGGTGCGTCGTGTATTTGTGTGTGTGTGTGCAAGTGCTGTGCAACCTCTCCTGGGTTTTATTATTAGTCCAGCACCTCACACACACGCTCAAACACTTTTCAAAAACTAAAAACGCACACACACTCACCAATTCAAAAATAACAGCCGCAAGAACTCAAGCAGAAGCGTTCAGAGTCGAGAACCTAGCATCCCCAAAGAAAACAAAAAAAAATCACCCGCCAGAAGAGAAACAAAAACAAATTCATAAACATCAACAATAGAAAGATAAAAAACGAAACCTCATTGGTCAATAATCGTCCGAGGAGTAAGTAGAGCAGACCAATAGAATTTCGCAATCCAATTGGAAACTGTTTTCGTTCGCTCGAAATTATCCTGAGATTATTAGTTAATTTCTCTGCTCGCTTTTTTTTGTTCTTCCTTCCTTCTTCAGCTGTTGCTCATTGGCCGCGGTTGCTTTGCATCCGCAGCAACAGCAACCAATTAAGAAATTAACATTGCATTATTATCGCTGTTAAAAGCGCTGTTGATGTTTCCAATTCGACCGGTGAAAGTTTTCTTCGCCTAATGCCCATTGTTGCTGCACGCCGCGCGCTCCTTCGTTACCCAACGCGTAATCCTCCGGAGCAAGGTGAATCAAAGCAGGAAGAAGACGCTGCAATTCTCGTATGTTTCCCTTGTTGTTGCTGTCTCGGGGAGTCCCCTTCGAAATAGATTGCATCCTCTCTTCTTTTGCTCCGCTCCGCGCTCCTCTTCGACGTTTGTTTGCGCCTGAAATATATGTGTATCTGTGCGTGTGTGTATATATATATAAACACAAACACACAGAAACTCTTCTTCACAGAGTGCCATCATTTATATATTTAGAAAAGGGAGAGAATCGCAGACTAGACGGGCACTTTTACACGCGTCCAGAGACTGTGAGAGGGAAAGAGTGAGAGAAAGGCCGGTAATTACATCCACGGCAATTAATCTAATTGGGGAGGAGGAAAAGTGTAAATAGATGGAAACAATGAACGCCAGATACCGGACCGGCTACCGAAATAACCGACGGTTCCGATGCACGTGCGAATCAAATATCAACATGCAACAGATCCTTTAAAAAAACCTCTTTGAAAATCTCAAACTCCATCAAATCGAAAAGAACCAATCTTCATCTCACGTCTTAAATTCAGTATTTCTAGTCACGTCAATAATCATAAACCTATATTTATAAACTACATAACTATTTTATGTAAAACAGATTTTGAAATCTTACAATCATCAATTCGAAGAGTCGGTGATTCCGCGATGAAATATTTAAATTTATTGCTAACCAAAACATGAATATCAAAAAATTAACAAATCCTAGGATTATTTAAATTTACAACAATAATTTCGAAAAATTAAATTTTTATAATTTACGAATTTTCAAGTCTGTTATGACTGATATTTATATTAAGTTTTAAAAAATAAACACATTTCTTTCGCCTTGAATATTTCCAAATATGAATTCGAATAAAAAAAATATCCTTAATCTTCAAAGTTGATATTTTCTTCAGTCTTTCTAACGATAAACAGAAAATCATTAAGTTCTCATTCAGTGCATCAGTTCGGATGCACTTGAGAATGAAAAATCAACAGATCCTAGAAAGTTTTCATTTGTCAGTTCGACAACAGGCGTATGTATGTATCTTCATCGTCTCGCGCAGTTCGAACATCTTTCCAGCTACAAATAACATAAACCTATAATTAGTAAATGCAAATGCACAACCGAAATAGTAATTATCTAACGACTGTTGAAAACTTAAAATTTTCTTGCCTACAAAACGTTTACATTTTATTATTCACATATCCTCTAATTATTAGACTCTAATAAGATAAGACACGCAAAAAATAGCTGCAAGGAAAATGAACGTATTTTCCTTGCAGCTATTATTTATTTAAACAAAAAAAAAATACACGTTTTATACACAAAGATATGATTATTTCTTAATATATTTGTATAAAATAATATTATTAATTTAATTTACAAGCATTAAATGTTATTCACACAAATAATTGAATAATTAACAATAGAATTAAAAATTAATGTTTTTATTTTATATTATTTACAACGAAATAATTATTTGTTATGTTTTAGTTAATTAAATATTTATTATGTAGTGACATGAACACATCTCTTTATAAGTTATATTACATAAATAAACACGCAATCATTTAAATTCATTATATTACAATGTTTTAAAGTAAAGTTACGTTATTATAGTCGCCTTGGAAAATTTTGACTTTGAGCAATTGTTTTTAATGTAACATTTCTCTTAAATTAATTATTTGTTTGACGCTTCTATATTAATGTACTGTTTTTGTGTTACTTTGATTGATTGTTAAATCTAATTTAACGACAATGAATATAGACATTCTAAAATGATCCGATTAATTAAAAATCTTTCACTTAAAAGGAAATACAAAACTTTTGATACTAATTGAAGTAGTTTTTTGTTTGTTGTTGTTAGATACGTTTCATTAATTTTTGTGTTATGTTTCCCAAGAAAGCTGTACTACTTTTATCAAACTTACACTCGTATTCAAATACAAATTAAATATCTGATAAACGAAATTGCGAGTACAACGACAAAGCAAGTTGATAAACATATAAGTAGGATGCATACAACGTTTTGATAGTTTTGTTTTATCATCGTTTAAAATAAAACACAACGAAAATAGAGACCGCTAAAAAGCTTTACGATTCATTGTTTCGTGTATTTTACGATTTATATCAAAGAATTTAAATATCAAAATCAAGTCTTACAAAATACTTTGTAATTAACATTCATTAATTTTATTTTAAATTAGTATTTTCAACTTACTACAGAATTATTATTATTTACAAATTTTTCTTTGGTTTTGATACGAGTATTGAGTTTATATTTTTGTCCAAATCAATTATTTAATTGTATTACTCACCGTTATTGTCTCTGTTATCTCTCGAATTGATAACGGGGATGCATGTGTTTTTTATTTCTTTAATCTCCAGTGACAAAATACAATTTGATTTATAGAAAAAAAAATTGAATGACTGTTTAAGTTTGTGAGTAAAGTATATTTTAAAATGATCTTTACATAATAATACTTATCTAATAGTTAATTTCATTCCAGGTGAGAAAAGAATCCTAACTACTCAAGAATCTTATTACAAAGTGTTTATTATTAGAACAAAAACAATCAATTTCTTGGCTGAAGGATTTCATTGGTCGATAGCCAATTTGTATTGAAACCTTATATTCATTTTTTTATTATGTTTATTTATTTTTATTAAAGTTTAAATCAATTGCCTTGATAAAAAAATATAGTTTTTTTTATTAGTGAAATTTAACTTTAATTTGTCAGATCTTAATTATAAGTTGTTGAAACATGTTTTTGACAAAGAAATTAAGTTAAATTTGTGTTGTGTATCGTTTTCCTATTGAAACTTATCACGTATTTTCGTTCATGTTTGATATTGAGAACGTTTGTTTTGGGTTGTATTTTTGGGTTTCTGGTTACGTTTTTCTTGTTTCTTTTATTTGTTTATGTCACTTGTCGTCGGGAAATGGAAACGACGTCTGAAGCTCAAAAGGCCAATGCCTTTCGGTCACGAAGTCACGAATCTCCTCCATCCATACTTTTATTGTATTTGAGTCACATTTCGAAACTCACACAATCCCCTTGCTTTTTTTTTCAAGTCCGTTTCTCTTTCCCTCTTCTGGGATTATTTGCATGGAGGTAGTAAACATAAATATTTCGAATACCTGCGACGTATTTCTTTTGACACAAATATAAGTTTTGATATTTGAAATCGTCATCTTCTTGCTTCAAAGATTCCGCTTGGGAATAATTCACTGCAGAGATCAAAGTTTGTTCATCATTGATAGCACTTCTAATAAACATGTTATGAGATAAAGAAAAAAAGCTGTGATTTTTTCAGAAAGTCTTCAGAATCGTATTTCCATTAAGTTAATATTGATTTTATGAGTGACAGTAAGTTTAACAGACAATTAAATAATGGTCGCAGCTAATTGGAATTTAATACTTGATGATTTGTTACCTCTTAGAGGAAAGAAGCTCAGAAGTCTCTGCGAATATACCTGTTGCGCGTAAGCGAAAAATAAAAGAGAGAAAGAGACAATAAAGAAGGAAAGAGAGAAAGAGAAAAACACGTCCACAATTACAATTTAATTTGCGGTCATTATTTCAATCATCGCGTTTCGTCGAAATCCGCATTATTCGCACATTAACAAAATAACAATTACATTTCGATCTTTATGAGTTAATAAAACGCATTTAACGATTCGTCTCAATGGGTTCACTTTTCACGAGCCATCGCTCGCGTTTTGTCCAAATTAGAACGCGAATTAATTGCCCGTTAATTACGCAATCCGCAAACAATTACGTTGCTGCCAATTCTCTCATTCTCTCTCTATGAACATGGGAAAATGCACATTTTTTGTTTGTTTTTGGGTTGATTTTGGTTCAGATGTCCACTTCCGGGATACGTCAATCATTAGGTCTAAATTGGGTCGAAACTTTAAATGATGTTGCGTCCTTTAATTGGCTTCGTTTAGATCGATTTGCATAATGTTCCAATTACAGATAAAACATTTTCAATATTCTGTTGCATTCTCAAAATAAAACTTAATTATAAAACAAGCAAAAGAAATTATTGTGATATAAATAAAGACAACTTTTTTTTAATCTGTCAAATTTGTGTCAATGTCATTTTTTTAATTCATGAAATTTTGTTTTTCGTTTAAATTTATTTGCACTTTTTAATACACTAAAGTGTCCATCTTTTTGTTCATTCTTTCATTAAAATTTAATTAAATAATAATTGATAGGAATAGATGCGCTATTAATAAACACAACTTTTTTTTACTGACGTATCTGTCATATTTGTGACAAAGTACAAATGTTTTTTTTTTAAATTCATGAAATTTGTTTCCGTTTAAATTGATTTGCATACAATTAGTATATATTTAATGAAAG